ATATATATATATATATATATATATATATATATATACATACACAAGCAAGAAAACGATTTACTTTCACTGTAGACGATTTTGTTTGGTTCAACTTCAAAGCATAAAGCAATACAAGTATGACTCTGATCATTACATGTTTGCGAAATCCAAGAGACTGTGAGTATACAATAATAAAATAAAACGTTATTTATTTAACGTAAAATTTATTTTACAATTACATGCGTACGTGCGTAGATAAAATGTATTTATATGGTTTATATTTTATTAATTTTATTAATAAAAGCAGTTACGATTTCATTTGATTGCCATTTATTTATTTATTTATTTATTTATTTATCAAATTATGGTCAGTGTAAGACACACCCGGCTACTTACTACTCTTACATTATTCGACAATTATATGGCTAAGAATAAATACATATATGTGTAGGGTTGTGTGTATTTATATAGAGATGTGTTTCAATTTGTTTAAACAGAGTACAGTGTGGACCACTCGCACTTTCGGATCACCGGCGATTACGCGATTATTACTCTTACGTATCGGCGGTACCGTTTCGTGACGATTATGCAATTCTACTCGGTTGCCCTTAGGCTACACGTACTCTCGAAATAACACCCGTTGATAGTATGTTTTAAGTCTTAAATACCATATGTTTCATTTTAATTATTTTAATAAGTTTATTAATTTTTTAAATATCCTTTTTTTTCATTTCTTTATTTTATAACGTTGAGTAATAATTCAAGTAATTGTATTAAAAATTATAAAAAAAATTTTATGGACTAAAAATTGTTTTTTTTTACCTTTTTATTTATTTATTTATTTATTTATTTATTTATTTATTTATTTATTTATTTATTTATTTATTTATCAAATTATGGTCAGTGTAAGACACACCCGGCTACTTACTACTCTTACATTATTCGACAATTATATGGCTAAGAATAAATACATATATGTGTAGGGTTGTGTGTATTTATATAGAGATGTGTTTCAATTTGTTTAAACAGAGTACAGTGTGGACCACTCGCACTTTCGGATCACCGGCGATTACGCGATTATTACTCTTACGTATCGGCGGTACCGTTTCGTGACGATTATGCAATTCTACTCGGTTGCCCTTAGGCTACACGTACTCTCGAAATAACACCCGTTGATAGTATGTTTTAAGTCTTAAATACCATATGTTTCATTTTAATTATTTTAATAAGTTTATTAATTTTTTAAATATCCTTTTTTTTCATTTCTTTATTTTATAACGTTGAGTAATAATTCAAGTAATTGTATTAAAAATTATAAAAAAAATTTTATGGACTAAAAATTGTTTTTTTTTTTTTTACCTTAATTTGTTAAATAATTTTTAATTAACCATAAATTTAAAATTAACATACAACATAAAATATTTTTTATTAAAAATTATTAATTAATATTTTTTTTTCCTAATTTATTAACCAGTTTTTAATAAATTACCGATAAATTTAATTTAATTGTAAAAAATAAGGAAATTTTTTTTATTAAAAAATATTTATTGTCTTAATTTATTAATTAATTTTTAATGAATAATTAATTTGTAAAAGTAATATAAAAAAATGACATTTTTTCACGGTTTGTTTTAGAGTAATATAAGTAGCGTTGGATATAGTAGTGTAGTGTGTAAGGAGAAGGGGATCGATAGAAAGAGACAGTAAGAGAGTGAGAAGTATCGAGCGCTTCGGAAGTCGCCGTGGGATGTCGCATTTTGTCCCTACCAAGAAACATACTCCAGAATTATTAAGTTCGAAAAAAAAAACAACTTTTGAAAATCTCAAAATTAAAGTTTTAAGTGTTGTGAAAAAAGTTTAAAAGTGTGGTTAAAAAAGTAAGTGTTTGTGAAAGTGTAAAACAATAAGTGTTGGTTTTTATTTAGACGTAATAATGTCTGAGAGTGATAAAGAATTGTTCGTGCGGTCTAAACACATTGATATTAATAAAGATGATGATGTTTGGGACGACTCTGTGTTAATTAAGGCTTATGACCGCGCGATTAGTTTGGCGAAAGAAGAAGTTGCCAAAGGATTGAGCAATGAAACTAATACTTATCAGAAAAAAATTGCTGGGTCAAATAAATGGACCGTTGGATCTCAATGTCGAGCGATTTATTCTGTTGACGGACAACTCTATGAGGCTACTATTTTGAAAATTTTTAAGGACGGGAAAACTTGCTTGGTTAAATTTTTAGGTATGAAATATTTGTTTGATTTTAATTTTTGTTATAATAATTTATAGGGGAAATTAGTTGGAATTAATTCTGAGATTTAAAGGAAATAAGAATAATTACAAAAATATTAAACATTTTTTTTAAGGGGTCATATAAATGCAAAAAGCGATTTTTCAGTGATCTTTTATGATAAACCTTTTAATTTATGATCAAATATTATTTATAAAAATATAATCTGGTAAAAAAATCGAAGAAATAATGAAAATATCTATTTTTGAGAAGAACGGCGGCTTAAAAAAAAAAAATTATTAATTTTCCTTGAATATTTTAGCCTTGAATTATTTAGAAGAATATAAAATATTTGTCAGAATTATTATTATTATAAAAACGCTTTGATAAAAAATAGATAATTAAATAATCTATAGAGTATCAGCGAGTTTTTTCTAAAATTTTTCTTCATTTAAGAAAAATTAACGAAGCTGCAATATCTGGGACCAACTCTTAAGAAAATTAAGATTTAATTTTCTGTAGAAAAATACATTTTTATTATTAGGACAAAACAAAAAAAAATCGCGTTCAAATTATTCACTATAGGAATTTATCGGATTTTTTTAAAATGGTCACTGATTCAGAATATGAATAATAATAATAATTTATTGATTTATTTTCATTTAAATCATAAAAAAATTCTCCCGCTTTTGACTCGTAATTAATTACGAGACCTTAATTCTTCTAGGTTATGGCAATACCGAAAAAGTAGAACTTTCTTCTCTCTATGAATCTGAAGGCGTATCCATGTATGAATCGGGAGGCATGGAAGCTCAGAAAAATTATGATCAAATGTCTACTTCAGACTCTGCGTCTTGCTCGAATATTAGGTACTCAGAATCTAATTATGAGCAGGGAAGAAATCGGTTCAAGGAAGAAAGGATGACATTCGAAACAGCGGACCATCATCAGCAGCCGAATTTTCCGAGCTCGAGTATGTCTTTCGAGGGGATTCCACCTCCGCCGCCGATTCCTTCGCAACTGATGGACCGGCTTCCTAAAAATGAGACGGATGCGCTTTCTAGCATGCTCATGTCTTGGTACATCAGCGGTTTCCATACTGGATACTACCATGGCATCAAGCAAGCTCAAAAATCGAAGAAAAATGATGGATGAATATCCATAAAACATAAAACTTTATAAATTTTTCATTTTTATATGCGAATAATACATTGTAAAAGTATTTTATGCCGAAATAAAAATTTATTCTTGTCACCTTTAATTAATGTTTTTTATTTATTGAGACTTCTTAAGAAAAAGGGTAATAAAACAAAATTTTAGTTTTTTTTTTTGCTAGAATCAAAAATGTATCTCTCCGCAATTTTTTACAGCGAACTTGTTTATTAAATAATTAAATTTATTTATGCGCGACATACTTTGGTAAGAAATCTTTTGTCCATTGTTGAGTGGTTCGATGTTGTATAATGATATCATTGGACAATAATTGGGGCAAATTGCCGGTTTCTTTTAATAAAATATTTAATAAAAAAGGAGTGGCATTTAATTTTGAAGGGTGTCGTTGCGAAATTTAATGACAGATTTAGATCATGAATTTAACAGCTCGTCGAAATTCGAGTGTAAATAATTATTCAAATTTGGCTGAACAAATTGCGGGTTGGAGTGATGAGTGATTTCTTAATAAATATTGGCGCTGGTATAACAATTTAAGGAATGGAAACGGTGTTTGTTTTATCTCAAGTGGGCAGAAGTTAAATATTGTTATTAATTTTGCGGGATAATTTTAAAATGTATGGAAAAGGCGGATGGGTTGTGTAAGCCATTTGTGTGTATTATTTTATAAGTGTTGACCGCAAAAAAACGTATGTAATACAGACTAGCGGTTTGTCATTTCCTCATCGTGTCACTTTTCATTTATTCTTTATGATTATGATACATATAATAGGACATAGGAATTTTAAAAGGTTATTGTACCTAGCGTGACAAGGGATAATTGCAGCTGTTTTATTTTGCGGAATGTAATATGAAAATATCGAGGTAATATCAACGATAAATTGTCTTCTGTCTTGGTACTTGCCATGTAGAGAGATTCACGTAAACATTTTTTTTTGTAATCCCTCCTTACTTTCCCCTCTTATCTGGCGCATGTGACACTCAAGAATCGAGCTGAGACTTAGAATGTCTAAAGTACTGGTATTTTTGAATATTTCATCTCTTATCCGAGAATGAAAGCCGAGAGTTGCATTTAAAGTCACACTGGTCTAGATTTAGACAACGTTTATCTTTAACATGTGTCAGGAGAGGATCTTTGTCCTGCTTTTTAGTAATTTTAACTTAAGCCTTGATATTTAGACTGCAAAAATTAAATTACCTCAAATAAATAATTACAGTCAATCAACAAGCCTTAAAATTTAATTAATTATTTTTGAAAGAAATATTAATTTAATGCCTTTATTTGCCAATAATTTTGTTTGTTTAAGTGACAAAAATTTTTTTATCAACTTTTAACCGCGTCGATATTTTTGTTATTAAATTTTTGTAATAATAAAAAATTACATATAATTTTTTTCAAAAGTTATATTCATATTTTTATGGCTTGAAGTGTTGTGAACTGTGTAATTAAATAATCACCTTACTTTATTTTATTAATTTTTAATTTTTTTTTTATCTAAAAACTTATAAAAAAGTCATGATTAAAAAATTATTAACTCGTATAATTTTTAAAAATTCATATCATTTTTTTTTTTTCAATTTAAAAAAAAATTTACAAACATATTTATTTAAATAAATAAGATTTGACATTTAAAAAAAATATAAACAGTTACTTATCAATTAACTCGTAACAACACCTCGGAAAAACTAACAAAAAGAGGTAATTAACCAATATGCCAAGGCATTTGAAATGCTATCGATTGACCAAGTACCGTAATGACTTCTATCATGATCTCTTAACTGTCTTATATTATATTACGATATTATCAGTTATAGCCGAAGCCAATTGAGCAATAATATAATATAACATATCATAAAAGATAAAATTTAACGACCGCATCTCTAAAGATCAATATTGAAAGTATGATGCCCCGACGGCAATTTTACCAATTAGCGAAACGCAAAGTTCATTCTCGCGACTTTACTTCATAAAAGTTTAGTGTTAATTGAGCTGATTGAAACATTTTTACAATACAATACAATACAAATATATAACACCGGATTTAATAACGGGCATCAAAAGTTTGAACTTTTGGGAAGTAAACAAACCGCAGTAAGGATATGTAAATTACTACATACTAGATCCAACAGATCGTTACTGCACCGAGAGGTTATGCAAGTAGCAATAGCAACTGACGGCACGTTATTATCATAATAAAGTTCCAATGAGTGGGCAAGTAATGATAGGTCAATCAATCGATGCCAAGTGTCAGATACCGGTAATAGTACATTACTAAACCCCCGAATAAAAGTTTTCTAAGTCTGACATAAATATTGATATTTATTAAATTATTGAAGAATTTTAAAAGGAAAAATTTTATTTGCTTCAATAAAAGATGATACGGCTGCTAAACCGCTTTTCTCTACAATGTAAGAAAATTTTTTAAACTTAGTTACATATTTTCGTATGCAAATAATTTATGCATAGAAATATTATTTTACTGTCTTGTATATAGATTTACGATCCATTTATTGAGTTCAATAATTTTTTTCAAAAAACACGTCTTAAAAAAATTTAAATTATCGATAGAATTTTATGTAATTGATTTAAAGATTTTCTTGACTTAAATAAATTTTCTTGAATCAATATACGTATTTTTTAAAGCAAGAGAATTAATTTTGTTGGAATAAGTGAAATTTCTGTCAAAAAAAAATTTTTTTCCGCTCAAGAAAATAATTAGGAAGAAAAATATTTTCTTTACTTGGCTCCTTTTCTTCTGTGCAAAATTAAAAAAGTACAATTATCGTCACGGAAATTAGCTTCCAATAAATTTTGGTAAAAAATCAATTTTTATTTTTAAACAGCACTCTCAATATCTGCAGCTCATACCTCTAATTTCATAATAATCTACTATTATAGATATAAATGGTAGGTCTTGAAGCAATCCCCGCGGGTTGATTATCGTCTGCTCAACTTCTGAAATGGATGAGCAAATATTTTACCTCGTACCTAGATATTTATATTTTTGCAATCGACCTAGATCATACAGAAAACACTTATTTTAATTTTAACTTTTACGGGCATCTTTACTTTCCACTCTTCATGACTCCTACTCGTTTATATTTGATATTTAATAACATATATCCCCTTACCCTTTCCCTTACGTAATTAATGTACAGTAATAATAATAATATATATTATTTAATAATTATGCGAAGAAATGGCAGATTTTTCTTATTAATTATAAATAACTAATCTATCACAAATGTCATGGTTTATTGGATGCAATTATTATCATTTACAATAAAACTTCCTACTCTGATAAAAGATATTATTTAAATTAATATCAACATGTTGATAAATTGTGATTACGGTTATTAATGAATAAATAGATGGTCATAAAAATGCGGATATTTATTGGAGAATAAAATGTTTTTTTTTTTTTTTTTTTTTTTTTTTGAGATTACGAAATTTGCGAGGATATTGACACCGGGTGTTTATTTATATTTTATGTTCATTTATTTATTCAAGATTGTAATGTGTGTTTATTTGAGGTTTTAATTTTGTAAAGCTGAACTATAAAAATATAATAAAAATCAATTCAAAGTGATGGAGGAAAAAAAGTTAGTGGGAAAGTTAACAAACGGGTTCCCGCGTTACTACGGTATTATATTATAGGTGTACTGTTTACAATGTATACAATCCTCCGGAAGATGCCACTGAAAAAATATTAATTGCAGATGAATTTCATTGACTTTTAAAGTAACGGGAAAATCAAGTCATCATACTGGTAAAATGATACTTAATATAATAGTCTTTGGATGATCGGTATTGTAAACTTTTATTGATAAATAAAAATCGATGTGAAACTATGAGAAGACTAAGACAAAATATTTTTCTTAATTTTGCTATAAAAATAAAATACTTTCTTTATAAATGTCATTTTTTTATAAATCTATATTATTAAGAGAATAAGCAAAATTTTATGGCCAGTGTCTGATTATGGTATGGATGGTGATTTAAAACCTTGCTCTTCAATATTTTACCACTCTTGACTACTAATTTATATACTAGCAACCTTGCAGTCACTATGTGACTGCCGAGATTTGTCAACTATGATTAAATGAAATTTTGCTTTATTAAATTAATGACTTTTGTTAAATTGCGCTGTACTTTTTTAAATATTGACGTTTTTAAAGATATAAGCTCATCCCGATGTTACACTCATCAAGAGCTTTCATTTGAATACCCACATGCATTTTTTATATATTTTTCATATATACATATATATAATATATATTTTAAAGATATAAGCTCATCCCGATGTTACACTCATCAAGGGCTTTCATTTGAGTACCCACATGTATTTTTGATATATTTTTCATATATACATATATATGATATATATAAATATATAAAATATATGAAAAATTGATGTGGGTACTCAAATGAAAGCTCTTGATAAGTATAACATCAAGATGAGCTTATATCTTTAAAAGTGTCAATAGTTCACAAGATACAAGGTCATTTGTTAATAAACTATGACATACTTCTACGAAATATTTATAGAATTAATATTTATGGGTCATCTGTGAATCGGTGTTGAATCACAACCTATCAATTAATAATTAATTAAATCCCGTGTATTACCTACTTTTTAATATTAAAGAATGTTAATCATTCAGTTAACAAGCGAAAATAATTTTTTTTCCTTGAATTTTTACAATTTTTTATATTTAAATGTTATTTTTGTAAAATTCTTGTCCTATAATTAAGTAACTCAATACTTCAATGCGAACTGTTGAATTTTCCAAAAATATAAACAAAATAATTTATAATTCTCGCGCCGCTATTCAATAAATAAATTTCAACTCTAATTTAAAAAAATATTAAACTTTCGTACAATTAAATTCAAACTAAAAATTATAAAAAACTAACAACAGGATTATATTTATAGTTTATGATTATCAGATCGTCATTGTATATTAAATGACTGATGCAAGAT